ACTCTGAGGAGGGGGAGGAAGAGGAGGGGGCGCCCCGAGGAGTTTACCGGCGCCCCGGGACTTGCACCGGCGCCGCGGGACGTTCCGAGTGGAGCTTTTATTGCACCGGCGACTTGCACCGAGAGGCACTTTCCAAAGCGGAGCTTTTGCACGAGCGGCGAACGGGAGCTTTGCACCGGCGGCGCGGGGACTCGCTGCCGCAGCCTGGGACGGCCGTTACCGGCGCTTCGAGCCGTGACTTTCCAAGCGGGACTCGGTACCGGCGGAGCGGGGCCTTAGAAGCGGGCGCGCCGCTGCACCGGGACAGGGCTCGGGCACTTGGAGCGACTTTGAACAGCGGCCCCGGGCACCGGAGCGGAGCCGCTCCCAGCGCAGCAGCGGCGGCCGCTCCCGGGGACAGAGCGATGCCGCTCGCCTGACGCGCCCGGTGCTCGCCGCCGCGCTCCCCCTCCCGCGCTCCCGCTGCAGCCTTGGCGTGGCGCCGCCGCCCCCGGTTCCCCGGGGCCATGTACCAGGGCTTCCCCGGTGACTACGACTCCGCGTCGCGCTGCAGCTCGTCGCCCTCGGCCGAGTCGCAGTACCTGTCCTCGGTGGACTCCTTCGGGAGCCCCACGGCGGCGGCCGCCGCGCAGGTGAGCGCCGGGGGCGGCGGCGGCGGGGCGCGCGCGCGCGGTGGGCGGGGTCGTGCGTAACGCGTGACGTGCTGGAACCCTCCGTGATGACGCAGCGCACGTTCGGCGCGCGCGGGTTTCCTCCCCCCTCCTCCCCTCCCCTACCGCGGCGCGCGCTATTTCGGAACGCCGCCGCGGCCCCCGTGGAGAAGGGGCGCGCTGATTGGTTCGCGCGCGCCGGGCACGCCCACCTCTCTGCGCTTCACGCGCTCAGTGGCTGCGCCGCGCAGGGCGGCCCCGCCCACTCCTCTGCTCCCCCCTCCTGTCTGCGGGGGAGAGGCGGCGCGGGGGGTGGGAGGGGGCGAGGCGCAGCGGGACCCCCCCATTTCTGGGGAGGGGGTCGCAATGCCCCCCCCCCCCCGCAACCTGGGCTGGGGGCCCCACTGCACAGTTACCCACTGTTACTATTGGGGGGTAATGCCCCCCCTGCCTTGTGATGTAGCCCCCCCCAGGGGCAGCCTTTTGGGGGGCTTGGTCCCCTCTGGGTGCCCCCCACCCTTGCTGGGTGCGCCCTTGAGGGGGGGGGGGTCGACAGGTCCCTGGGGTGCAGATGCTGGGGGAGAGTTGGAGCTGAAAGCGGGGGGGCAAGGGGAGGACCCCCTTGGGTACCCAGGCTGCACCCTTGGGTGCTGTGGAGCCCTCGCGTGTTGGTGGCCGGGGGACAGGGACCTTGTGGGCAGGGGCCACCCTGTGCGTGGGTGGCAGGGACCTTGGGGCGCAGACCTTGCGCAGGGGGGCAGGTGCCACCCCGTGCTCAGGTGTCACCCCAGGTGACAGCGGCGTCGAGGGGTGCAAGTCGGGGCTCGTGCGTCGGTGTTAGGGTGACGGGGACGTCGCACGTGGGTGCTAGCGAGGTCCTGTGCGTGGGTGCAAGYGGCACCTTCCTGGGTGCATCAGTCCTGGGGTGCTGGGGCCTCCTGCATGGGTGCAAGCAACACCTCATGCGTCAATTTTGGGGTGCTAGTGCGGCCTCGTGCATGGGTGCAAATGACACCTCACGCAGCAGTCCTGGGGTGCTGGTGGCACCTCATGCTTTAGTCCTGGGGTACAAATGACCCCTTGTGCATCAGTGCTGGGGTGCCAGGAGCCCCACGCATGGGTGCTAGCGAGGTCTTGTGCATGGGTGCAAGCTGCACC